TTCGAGATCATCATTTTGTAGTGAATATCTCTGCTCTCGGTGGTCCAATCATGGCGAATTTTAGCTAAAAATTTTCAAGAGGCTTGCCGCTATTGAATGATCTACAGAGAACCTTGTTGAAATATTTTATTTCGAGAATATTAAATATTTTATTTCAAAAAATATTAATTTTTTAGTGTAAAAAACTATAAAATTGAATCTTTTTTTTTGTTAATAAAGCTGCAATAATAGCTGCTATTTTGTTAATTTTATTTAATCTTTATTTAATCTTTTATAAAAGTTCATTCCATTGTGACAAGTTTTTTGAACATTTCTAGTTAAATTCACCGTGATCAAACCATCGAGAGCAGAAATATCACTGCATCGACAAGAATGCAGATAATTATGTGAATTTGGAAGATGTAATAAGATTCATTTGTAATAAGATTTTTGATTCTCTTTCTCTTTTTTTCGATAGCGTATTATGCGCAAACGAAGATCTTGAACTTGATTCAAAGTACATTTAATTCTCTTCGTCTTCTAACTCTCATTTGGGAAGTTTACTTCGCAAGCTTATTTCATCAAGCGGTGAGATTAATGGGACTTTGATGACAAGTAAGAGTAACTAATCGAAGGTGTCACGCGAGCCATTTTGATATTAATATATACGACCTAAAACATCATTTAAATGCTACTAATTAAGGTTTTGACGCTTAAATATAATTAATGTCACATTTAAGATGTTATCCGCGATTTTGATTGATCTTATTACTTTATATTTTTTATATTACTTTCGCATCAAATGATAATAAGTAACGGGCAAAGTAAGAGTCAACACGTTTCTTTGAAATTAACAAAAGAATATATTTCAATTAACAAAGGTAAAATTACATAACGTTATGTAATTTTACCTTTGTTAATTGAAATATATTCTTTTGTTAATTTCAAAGAAACGTGTTGACTCTTACTTTGCCCGTTACTTATTATCATTTGGTTTGTATAGAAAGAGTCCTTTGATTTGTTACTTACCTTCGCATGACGATACAAAAAATTTCTTTCCTTTTGAATGCGAGAAATAAATAGATAAATTTTTCTAAATTAAAATATTTATGTACAAGTAAATTAATTTGTACAAATAAATAAATTAATTTTATTCTCTCTGATGACGTTTAGTCGGAAATAGAAAGCACAAATACAATATCTTTTTTTACAGCATTCTTTGAAACTTATCGAAAATATTTCAATTCGAATTTAACAAATTTCTTAGCAAAATTCAAATCCTATTAATCATTTAATTGCGGAAATTTTTTGAAACAGTTCAAAACAACATTCCCATAAACATTTCATTATACTTATATAATTGCACATTCCTAAAATACTAGCTTTTGGGAAAATCAACGAAAGAGAATCGCCCTTAGGAATCTAATTCACTTCGAAAGCTTTAACTTGGATGCCCACACTATGAGAAATGCCCGCGCAGGAAAATCGTACAGTCGCGCTCTTAATCTTGTGAATGGTTTTCCTCGCGTTGTGTGCGTTCCTCATAGGGTGAGCTGCATGAGTCGTTGATACGTACGCTCCGTCGAATTTCACAGCACTCATCCTGGGCCGTTACTTACATGCACGTACTTCAACGAGTTAGTGATTTATTTCCGTGCCGCGCGCGCGGAAGGAAAGCAGGAACATTATGTGCTCGCAAGTTTGATATTTCCCGATAAAATTACTCTACAGTGTATAACAAGAGAAAGACTTTTCTTCATATTTTATGCACTTAATTATGAGGGGCGGAAATTATTCGCAGCTACTATGTATAATAAAATTAATAAAATTATGTAAATGTTTTGCTAGCTTCTCTCTTGAAAGCTTGATGAAATCTTTTTATAAATGTATCTTACAGGTATCTTATTTGATATACATTTTATGAATATATCTTATATATAAAATTTATCATCAATTTTAATTTGATAAATAGTCACTTAAATTACATTGAATTAAATTAAATGTAATTGATAAGGGATACTTTTGATGAGACTTCTACATTCATATTTTAGAACAGTATGATGTTATTTATTTTTGAAGCAGCTTTATAAAACTTTTGGAAAGAGTATTAAGTATTATATCACAGATAATTCATGTTACTTGAAAGCTTGCAATACAGTTTAAAACATAAGATTTTGAAAGCTATATTTGTTTTAACGAATGCTTTTAAGCAATGAAAATTATTTAAGATATAATTGCATAAAGAATTTGTGCAGTGTATCAGGCAGAATATTGAATATATAATTATATAAATATATGAAGACATATGAACGTACATTTTTTAATGTTATATTTTATACATGAATAAATAAGTAAATATATATTGCTCCTTTTGTTACATAATCTTAAAAGATTGGATAAAATAAACTACAAGCAAAAGTTGTGTTTCGAGCAGCTTTGTGTTACAACACGTAACAATAACGCTGAAAATAAATATAATGAATCATCAAGAATAGAAAGTTTAATCGATACAAGCTGCTTCGCAACAAAAAAGATTAATAAAGTTGAAGCTAACGGAAATGTTCGTGTAAATTTAAACAATCACGCAATGGTCTATTTCTCGATATCAACTACATACATGTTTGCAAATCACGTGTGTTAGGCACGTCAAAGGAAAGCTGTTAATTAGCAATTTTGTTAAGTAATTTATGACTTACATAAAGTGACCTAAGAACTTTAGTTTATAATAAAGGAAAGAACTTGCTAACGAGAAAAGACATGTTAGTAGCTCAAGTGATAAATTAGGCAAAAGTACCGCAATTATCAAGTAATTTGCACAGCAATTAATTGGAGATACAATAAACTCTTTACTTGCATCGACTTTCAATTAAGATATTATTAAAATAAAATTCAATCATAGTTGGGTATAAAAGACTTGGTTTATTATTTTTATTGTTCAAACTTAATTATTATGTACAATATTAATGAATATTAATAATTATATTTATTGTATTAATTATTTTTTTGTATTATAATAACTACTTATAATATTTTAATATATCTTTTAATAAAAATGAAATTTAATAATTATAGGCGCGATAATTATACGGTTGCGAAAATTTTTGAAACATATATTTTTGTAGAGATTTTATATTCAGTTACAACTATAATTTATTTCCAGGAACGAATTCAATTTGTTATGTATTTCTGAATGTATAATTCTTTAATTGCATTGGAGTGCAAGTAAAAACAGGAATATTTTCTAGCTATTGGTTATTAAAGAAAGTACACGATAAAATTGTAAATTTTTTCTCTAAATTATCGAAGTTTTATTATTTTCTTAAACTTCTAATTAATTC